GTGGACCCCAGATGAAATAAGGCAATATAGAATCAATACCCGCCATTATCCAGCATAAAATTTTGCTGATAAAATACGACCATGAGTTGGAATAACAATCAATGTTCGCCAATGGTAAGTGCAAAAACCATTGATATCTATTATCGAATACACTGTGACATTTTTCAGTTAGACGATTGATAGACATTTCTTTGTTGATATTCATACATGTACAATTTGGTTGTATCCCCTCCAGTTTAAGGTCACGATACGTCAATGCAATTGTTACAGCCACTGCCACCGATAACATCAGTGTTATAGCCATAAAAATGCAGATTATCACATTTCTATTTACGTCAATCAGCATAGTCGATAACCTATTCTCCACTAAGTTTCAAGGAAAAAGCGAGCGGACACTTGGGGCAGTTCCCTCGTTAGAGCAATGCGCTAGACGAGAAACCGAAAATAATTTCACGTAGAACTCTCAACGATTCACTTACTTTACGTTGATGTTGATTGTTGAAATTTTGTAAGTCGCTTTCCATTGAATCAATATCAGTTACAGCAGCTTGTTTTCGCTGAAATATAGAACACGTACAAACATTCAAAGAGAAAAACTTAAAATATCAGTGCGATATGTACGAAACTATCAGTACCTTTTTCGTGACTGGTACAGTAAGTGATTTTTTCTAAAAAATCCAAGACAAAGAGAGACGTTTTATTTTCTCTAGCAATTGCCTCTTTATCCAATTTTATTGGTTGTTTTTTACCATTTTTTGTAACACCTTGTTCTGCACGATTTGCCTTTCTTAATTTTGTCATATTCGGTTTCGGCAGCTGAGCTCGTTGCTTTGTAATTCTGCGAACAGCAAGTATATGAATACAATCTTCCTTTTTCGATAGCCTTTTGAACCATTCACAGGAGCATCGAAAATTAGGAAAATCACGAATATCGACGGAGTCGAATGAATTGTTTTCATGTTGGACTGACCAGGCACCTAGAGAAGACAAAAAGACTGGGAAAAAGATTAAACACAAGCATCACATCATACCAATGTCCGTTGAAAAAGAAATTTGTTTTGAAGAATAAAATAATTTTGACATTTCAAGTGCTGATAGTGGTTTACTTCGTTGTGTTCGCGTTGTATTAGCGGCATCTGATGAATCAATTTCAGCTTGTACACATTTTATTTCATCAACAATTTGTTGTGGATCGTACGGTCGTAAACTATCGAATACCTGTTGTCTATTCGTTGGCTGTAATGCAGCATATCCTGTGTTTAATTTCAATTGAAATCCCCTGCAAAAAAACATCATCGTAAAGTATTTGCACAACCGAAGCCAAGGCCACTTACCTAATGAACAATAGCCTCGTATAGTTTCATTAACGAAAAACCCTTGTAATTTATTAAGCATAAGTAACAATCGGTCGATGGATAATAACTTCCAGTTAACAACATCTTTATATAACCGATTCATGCCTTCAGTTATGTTCGAAGTAATTGATCGTTTGAAATAATTATTTAAGTTCAATTCGTCAACCCGCCACATACCTGAAACGACAAATGAAGTTTCCGATCCAAACCGGATCGCGACTCTACCGAGTCGAGTCCGGTAATCAAGCTCCGATGATAGAATCTTATTTTGAAAATGGAATTTCATTTCCCATCGTCGGACTCGACTCCCTTCATAGACAATGGAGTAGCGGTATTCATTTCTCGTATGTGACGAGTTGAAGAATTGCCGATGGAGGGAGTCGAGTCCGACCATCAGAAATAAAATTCCCATTTTTATTAGTATTTAACAAATTAACATTCTTGCCTCAGCAAATCGCCATATACTATATGTAACAGTAATTTTTCCTGTTTTATACTTGTGCATATTTGTGTTTAGGTTTGGGAGTCGTACTCAGGTCGATCATAGAAATTATAAAGGGGATGTCTATCCAAAAGAGTTTTATACCACATGGTTTATCAGATAAACTTACCAATTTGCTGAATCGTTGGTAATATATTATTCGTGAAATACGTTATAAATTTGATCGGCCAGTTCAATTGAATGGTCGGTAATTCCGACATAAATTCATCATAGGATGGTAAATGAATTGAATATTTGATTTCTCGAACAAAACGCCTTGCGGACTCTCTGGCCGTTTCTTCTTGTGTGGTGTCAATAGCAGAATAATTATGATCATGTTCAATAATATCAAGCATATCTTCTATTTCCAAAAGTTTGTCGATTTCTAGGAGAAAAAAGCGTTCTTATTTTAACTAAGATCAGACGCAATCACCGCTTACCCTCGTCCGTCATATCCGTTTCCGATATATCATTTTCTTGTGGTTCCTGGGATTGATCTCGTCGCTTCTCTCAATATCAGCTGTTGATATAATAGTTGAATGACCTAAGAAGAAAGAAACGGCGTATACGAGAAGGAGCAGTACGTTTTGATTACCTTGATTTGTATCAGTGGCTGTTGATTTGGATTTTCGTTTTTTCAAAGTATTCTTGTATATGTTCTTAAACAGATGATTATGACAACGCAACTGTGGCAAATTCGGAAATTCTTGATCAAAGGCATTTTTGAAACCAATTTCCATATCAGTCACGATAATGCATTTCTCATTAATTTTTGGACACAACTCTCTTAATTCACGGACAGTTTTTTCATGACATTCTTGTTGCTCGGTCTCGTGTAGTAAAAATAGTAATGGAATACATGGCGCGTTTTCAAAACCTTGGTGACGGAATACCAAGGAGCTATGAAAATAAACGAAAATACAGTGTAGGCGTATAGAGAAAATTTATGAGAAGTAAGTGGTAAGAAAGTACGATCTTTATCTGACCAATCTGTGAGACCAATCTAACCAATGTGAAACTGGTAGATTGCTATCTCAGTTTTTGGAGATCCGAAGTGCTTTTCCAAAGACCTCCTAGAAAACCGGTCTTTCGAATGGTTTTTGAAAAGGGTTTTGCTTATGAAAACATAGGTTAAACTGTCTTCTTTCGATTGTTGAAAATCGCAAGTTCCTATCTTTTATCATTCTGGAGTTATTTGAAAAACAACCGAGTGCGTTGAATTTTGGCGCCGATAGTAGTTTTAATTTCTGTGATCGGACTCGAGTCCAACAATGCATGTTCAAAGTGCTTTAATGTTTATTTTGTCTAGTTTTTGACTCAAATCACTTAGCGCACGCAGCTTAACTATAATTTTCCATCGCTTCTTTGTCAAAGTTGGAAGAGCTGCGTGTTTGATAAGGTCATACAGCTAAGAGAGGAGATCACTGCTCCTACTCACACCTGCATTTGGCAAAGTACCTTAAATAAATGTCACAAATAGAAAATGTTGTGTCATAAGACAGAATAATTTTTTCTTTTGTTATTGCTAATAATTGATTGAAAATTTGGATCATTTCCGTTTGACCGAAT